GGCTGTTACCATGATACTCTAAATCTTACTCCTCTCAGTCTTCGGAGGAAGGCATGCAGAAGGATGTTGATCAGAAAGTCTCTCCCAATTGCTCTCAACCCGTGGGTCAAGACCCCTCTGACAACCCTCTATCTCCAAAAAAAAAAAAAAAAATTTTTTTTACATGACAAGACACAGTGTTCAGCCAGCCAAGCTCCGGTGGGTGGTTCCGTTCTAGTATTTTCCTCTGCTTGCTGCTCACTACTCCCGGGGGAGGCCAGTGGGGCTCTGGTTCTGTTGGTCCGTTTATAGAATGGTAAACTGAGGCTCCTGTGGCTACAGTCTTCCTGCAGGGTACAAGAGAATCTAGTGCAGAGAAAGGGTGAAGGTTGAGGATCCAGCTTCAGTCCCCAGATCCAGCCCTGCGTCTGTCTGTAACAAGGTCCACAGCAGGGGGCTGATTTGAATATACACCAAGTAACCAGGCTCAGTAGTTGCCAGGTGTACCCTCATCGTCAGTTGCCCTGAGAGGAAACCTCAGCCCTGGCTGGGCCCACGAGAGCTCACACATGCCTGGGTGCCTCTATTTCTTTGTGCCACCCTTTGAATTGTACCAGCTTCTGCCAGCTCCCGGCAAGTGTTGGTAGTCTTTTCCGTGGGCGGCAGACAGGGGGTGGGGAGGGGCTCCCAGATGAAGCTTCTCTGTGGCATTCTCAGGTCTCCGCTGAGATGGAGAAGGACCAATACCCGGTGAGGAGAAGCAGTCTGCATCCCCACTTGTTTCTCTTGTCAGCGTTTTAATATGACAGTGCTGCCAGTCAAACCACATGAAAGACTTTGGGGGTGATTTTCCGTGCCCGCTGATGAGCCCCAGCCCCCGATCTGCCTCCAAGCTGGATGGCAGTACGCAAGCCTGTGAATCTGGCTGCCTTGGCATCTCGTTTAAATTTCAGCTTCTGTTCTCTCGCACTGTCTGTTTCTGAGTAATGAATAAAGGATCTACAGAATTATTCAACATCTAGACAGACAGCCCTGTGCCCTTTCTCGTGAGGCTTCCTGAGGGTCTCATGGCCGAATGCTACAGCCAGCTGGTTTTTGCAATCAGTGACAGCTGGTCCAGGCTGGATGTTTCCTGTCCGGTCGTCCCAGCATCCAGCTCTCTGGCTTCTTGCCGCTTCCCACTCCGACACTCCTGGCCCTGGCTCTGCTGGAGACTAATTAACAACAAAGAGTCCTGACTTTCCTTCACATGAGATGACCCGGGTGTCAAAAGATTTTTTGCTCAACTCATGTTGTCGCCAGTTCAAAAGAGACCTCAAGGAAGCAATCATGGCCACAGAGCGGAGGAATGTGGCTTTGTGTGCGCTCTCTGATGGCAGCACCCCTGCGCATTCCAGGTCTCTTTACATCCTCCCAAGGCTGCTTATCAGAAATGATGTCAGGAGATGGATCCTGGTCCCAGAACAAAGCCCGTCTCCCTAGATCCAGCTCACCTGTTTGCACGGGAACAGCGAGAGTGTCAGGTGCCACGGGGCCTTGCATTTGATTGGCTGGAAGGCTTACCTTTCATTTTTTTCCTTCTTTCTTTTAAAACCGGATCTCACATAGCCCAGGCAAGTCTCAGACTCACCACACAGCCCATACTGGCCTCCAATTCATGATCCTCAGGCCCCAGCCTTCCAGATGCTGGGTTTACAGGCATATATCACTATCCCTGGCTAAGAATTCACCTTTCAACTTTTAAAAGTCTCACTTCATGTGAGACTTTTAAAAGACACTATCATGTCATTGGAGGCCCAAACACACACACACACACACACACACACACACACACACACACACACACA